TTAATTACGTTACCTCATCTACCGAAATGTAATCTCCGCTTTCTTCGAGACATTTTGAATAATGAGAAACACCTGTAATGAAAATCGTTGGATCATCATTATTTTGTGCATATTGAAATCATCGAAATAGGAAAAATAATTATAATTAAATTATAATAAAAATTAAGTTTACTCTCAGGCAGAAATCTTTCAATATAAGAAAGAAAAGATAAAAATAAATTGAATTTATGTAAAAGCTATATAAGGAAATGAAAAAAACTTTGAAAAAGATATTTTAGAATTTCTGTCATTTAAATCCAAATATATACGCAGATATAGAAAGCTTCAGATATAAGGTTTTTCTATTGAATATTTTATAAATACTATTTAGAAAACTGTAAGGTAAATATTTTCGAGGAAACATTTTATAAAGTGAATCTATAAATTTCGCATTGTTTTAAAAATATTGATTGAAATATTTAATTATAAAAATAAAAATAAAATTGGTAAGAATTTTTGAAAGTTCAACAAAAATTTTCATAAATGAAATAGACTCATCTTCTCTTTATCTCCAATTCTATTCTATTATTTGTTGTTAAATATTATGATATAAAAATAGTTAATTAAATATTCATCGTTGTATTTAATTTGAAAAATTTGTATTGTATTTCAAAATTTATTGCACACTTCAAATGATACGTGTCAAATTAGTTTGCAATTTATCTTTCATTATGCTATTTAAGCGTGTACACGCGAACTCTAAAACTAACAGTAAAACGTTCAGAGTATCGGTGTCTTGAAAATTCGCATTTCACATTCCTTTCTATTATGATACAAGTAAGAGAGAAAAATATAAGCCGGCTACCTGTTTTATTTGTCATGAAAGGAAAGAAATAAAATGTAATAATCGTGACGTAAATGTCGTGACTGAAATAGAATATGAAATAAAGAAAGAAAGGAAAAATTTTTGTGATAATTACAAAATGAAATGTAATATAACGGAATCATATTGGATTTCTATTCATAATAATAATAATATTTATACAAATTTCACAGAAATTATTTTTACATTTTTAAATTTTCCTAACTGTTCTCACGCTCTTTATAAAAACGTTAAACAATTATACACGCGCTTAATTTTAGATAACGTAATGCATAAAATAAATAGGTCAAGCATAAATAATCAAACACGATAGATCAAAACGATTAGAAAAGGAAAACATATATATATATATATATTTCGAACATTAATAAATCTAAATAATGTTTTAAAAAACCATAAGATTTTGACGCGTGAAACTTTGTATCACGCGAGTTATAGATCGTCCATGAACTGGGGCAAGCATAATTAAATGAAAGTTTAATCTCCTCCAGAAGAGAGGTTAACCTCCAGTTAACGATATTCGTCGTTACTTTGTCTTGCCTTTGAATTTTCCCTTTTATGTTTGTTCACAATCCCGCGAGATGACCGACTAAGCCAATCATTAGCTGCTGCTTCGTTTAACCACCTATCGCTAATCTTTCCAGTTGTATCGTTTACTCTCAAGATCATCACGCTTCGATAAATATTGTGAACGGTTCGATTTAAAACTTCAGCATGTCTATCGCCTAACACTTGCTTTTTCCTATTTTTCATCCTATTTTTAAGCATTGACATTCGCTTAAATGCTGCGCATAAATAATCATGAACTTTGTGCTCGTTTACATAATCTACATAATGCTTTGAACACTTTTTATTTTAGCGAGATCCCTTTAAGAAAATAGTACTTTTAACTTTTATCTTTAATAGTTTTTTTCAATAATATAATGGAATTCCAAGTAATCGTAAGAAATATCTCGTTAATTATTTTACTGTGATCGCAAGAATAATTAGGAAAATGAAATATTGCATGGTTTCATGGGAATTGTAGAGAATTGTACAAATGATTACCATTTTCCAATTAAACGTAGTCTTTAATAAATAAAATAAACGAAAAGAGAAAATTAAAAAAAAATCTTCGGCATTATTAATTTATTTCAAAATATATATAAATATTATCTGTTATGTTTATTTTATAATCCAAAAAAATGAATTTATCTAAGAAATAAATATAAAGGAAAAGATATATGTTGACTTCACAAGTTTATTTACATATCACGATTCTTTAAATACGTGAATAATTGAATACGCAAATAACGTATGTAGGCGGGTATTAGAATACTCGAGTTCTGTAATTAATTGTGTGGTCGATATTATGATCCGAGCCTGTTTAATAATTTGCGGTTAGCCAAACCATTCATTTAATATTATTGTTTCGATAAAATAAATTGTTATTTAAAAATATAATTGAGGAGAAAAAAGTGAATGATTAAAAATGATTTGTTGCGTGATAAGATTACACGATGGAAAAAATCAATTGATGATTGATAGAATGATAACAATATAATATGTTCTAAGTAAAGCACAAATATCTATAAAGAGAACTAAACGAAACATCACATTCTATGTATAGAGAAAGGCTTTTGTTTTCTTTCTTCGTCTTTTCTGTCATCGAATTTTCTAAAGCATTAATATCGTGAAAATCACGTGTCGATTAAACACAATACGTGAAACGCAAATCTATTCTACGTACGACAATTCTAAATAAAAACATTTATTTCTAAAAAGACTAATTTTAATTTATATCACCGATACTATAATACTAACTTTATGAAAATATCCAAGTTACATCTAAAAATGAAAGAATGATAAATGCGATTTTCTAAACGACTTGAATGACAATTAAAGTTTTCACTAATTGAACAACTCTTGAAAACTTCAGTCTTGAAGTCTTGAAAACTTGTTATCTTGAATGCAATGTAGAATGACTATCACGTTTTAGACTCGTACTTGCTGTATTGTTTGAATCGATTCTGTAAATTGATTCAAACTTTCAACGCTTTGCAATTCAATTTATTCATATATGAAATTTTAATTTTCTAATATAAAAATTTAAAAAAAAATTATATCGGTAATATATTTTTTAATTAAAGTTACTTGTTTTCCTTATGTAAACAAATCAAATAAAATTAAATATTCGAATTTGAATTTATTAAAAATACATGTATACTTATGAGAAAATAACTAATACAACATTATGAAATTTTGATTGATTATTTGCTATATTGATTTCTAATAATTGATTCGCACGAGCACCTTTACAAAGTTCAATCAACTCTATGACATGCAAAAGCAACATTGTTTTATGAAAAACAGAGGAAAAGATCAACGTATTTTGGAAAAATGAAAATCGATCGATCATCGAAGAATAATATTCGAAACTTACCCCGAAAATCGACCTTGACAATCTTGTCCCCTTTACATTTCAATCCTTGAAAATTCTTCACGATAACAACGAGCGCCATTCTTGATTCTTCGATTCGCAATGTGAATAATAATGTTAAGATCGTATGTAACAAGAGAACGCGTAAGCAAACGCGTTACACCTCATGTTCCGATTCTTCGTTACGTTTTTCTTTCATCTATAGTTACACAAAAGTAAAATAAACGCGATACGACAAGGAAGAGCTAGCGACAATCGTAATCGAAAGGACAAATCCACGACTCACCTTTGTTTGAGTCGTGATCGCAGAATACTTTCGGTCAATAAATGTTTTTCACACCGGTGTCACGATTGATCAACGAACGAGCACGTATGTGAATTGAGCGGTAGACAAATTCAGACTAGATGTTGTTCGCGCTTCGAATAACCCTCGAGTCCTGTCCGATCCTACCCGACCTACCCGTTCTGCTATCCTGGAAAATCGGCGCATGCGCAACTTACCACTACTATATTTACACATACACACAACACAGGCTATGTTCGCGTCATCGGCGCAGTTATCCACCGCTTCACTCTCCCTATGCCCTTCCATTTGACGCGGCACTACTTGCCGGTGACCTACACTTCATTCCTTTCCCGATTCCTTCGTGAAATTACTGAAATACATATCAAATACCAGGCATACATACCAAAGGGAAGTAGGAATCCTTCACCCTCAAGCACTAATCTTAACATTTATCGACATTTCATTCTTTTTTCGTACTTCACAGGTACATTGTATAAGTTTATTTTTACTTGTATTCGCGTTTCTCATGAAAACTACGACTACCGGTGACCTAACCATATTTTTTTTCTCAATTTCCTTGAGAAAGCAGCAAATTGCTGAAATATCTGGAATATATGTGGTAATAGAAATCCTCCATTCTTACCCACCAATCTTTATCAGTGTTTTGTATCTCCTTCGTGTTTCTGGTGTATCATGGTGTATATGTAAGTTTATTTTTATTCATACACTTATTTATATAATCAAAAATTTGGAATCAACTTTTTCCTTTACAAATTTTTTTTTTATTAATTTTGTTATTAAATTGATATTAGCGTTATAGATATTGATAAATTTTTTGAAAATGAAAAGTTTGTTAAAGTAACGTAACTAATCTATTTATTTTTTAAATTGAATTTGATTTTATGGAATTAGTGATCCCAAACTCTTTATTAAACGATAATATTTTATGAATTTTTTAACTAATAACAATAATGGTATAAAAAATGTAATTGAAGAGAATTGCATTTTTTGGAAAAAATAAATCCAAAAGAAATTAAATAAAGATACGAAGGTTGGCGAGATAAGGGTAAATCAATAATGGACTCAGTGTTGAACCTAAAATTTCTCTCAGCGCTACTGTATTAGATATCAAATTGAAGAATTTATACGTATAACGATTACAAATTTTTTTTATTCAGTTTGAAGATTTAATACAAAATAATTTTATTAATTTATTCTTTTATATGATCAATATTCCTTCATTCATATTATTAACAAACATTATTAACATTTATAATTATCAAATTATAAACTATAGGCGGAAAGATAATTAAATCATTCACGTAAGTTTTAACGAGCACCATTGAATCGCCTTCCAACACTAAAACTAACTAAAAGTAAATAACGTAAGTAAAGTTAAATAAGTAATGTAACTAAACATAACATTCTTAACGAAGCCCGTTCATTTTTTATTATTAATCTATTTACAATATGCAAGATATGATTTTGAAATATAAAAAAAAAAATAAAAATTTATATTATTACATATTGTACTATTAATGATCAATTTTTTGCATAACTTTGTCCAAAATTGGTAAAGATTTCATGTGATCCGTCACACTATCCAGGCCAAATCTTACCAATTCGAAATTTTTGTAAGTAAAATACAATATCCCAAAATAGAACAGATAGACGGTAATTATGTGAATGACGTACATTCTGTAAACAGAATACGAGTTATATATAATTCGTGAAAATTACTGAATACCAAACTCTCTCACAATGGCGTAATATTATAACGCTTACATCGCTTGGTGCCTTCGAGCTTTCGGCAACGTGGATAAATTTTCTTTCATGCAATACTGCCTTGCGCCTAAGACGCAAGTTTTTATATACTCATTGTCGTCGATAGACAACAAATCAATTGGAAAGATCTCTTTGTCCTTGGGGCTCATTTCACCCCACAATATCAACAAGTTCGTGTTATGGAAAACCCATTCCCTCGTAGTGAAATATTGTAAAAGTTCAAGCCCAACTGAGATACGGTTTTGTATACGAACCATGCTAAAAAAAAAATATAGTAATAGTATAGTAACAAAAAAAAAAAAAAAAGATGAAATTCACGCGTGAAACTGAACTTGTTGTTGTAACTGACTTACATAACCTCTAAAAGAAAAGAGAAAAAAAAAATATATATATATATAGATCGGTGAAAGTTACAAGACACTTACAATCTTTTTTGTCGAAATATCAACATGAGGAAATCGATGAAGTATGCCGGTATAATGTGAAAAAAAAAGACGATTAGATTGTGCACGAATTTGCTGTTATGTATATCCCCGTCCGGATACCAAATTTGCCCTTCGAAAGGATATTGATAAGCGATCTTTTTCCCTTTCCCCAGTATCTCTCCCCAGGTGATAGGTAACACGCCACTTTGCGTAATATTATAAACTGGTATACTTGTTCTTCTAGCGAAGAAAAAAAAAATTGATAAATGTGAAACAATTAACAACAAATGTGAAATAACATAAATGTGAAGGAATATTAGAATTATTTGAGAAAGATAATTGAAAAGATAATTGAAACTTAAAAGGTATTATAACGAAACGGATATTTAAAAAAAAAATAAATAAATAAAAAATAAAAAAAAGAAGTGCTGATTACTTTTCATTTGTAGCAGTTTTATGAGCAATGGAGATTAAAGAGTTGATAGCAAAATCAACCGGTATCACTTCGGCGTGATAGTTTTCATTGCAAAGCATTGATCTTATAACTCCTTTGCCTGCACCCACCATAATGCCCACAGGTCCATTCAGATTATCCACCCAACCAGGTAACGGCTCTGCCAAAGCTGGAGTTACTGTAAATATGACAACATAAAAGTTGATTTCATATAAAGATTTTTGACAAACTTGTTTATCTTGGTATAACTTATAAATATGTATATTACAGGTTAAAATTATTTTCATTTGCATTAACATTGATATTTTGAAATAAAATTATTATTCATATATTAATATATGAATAATAATATAAACATATATTAATTATTATGTTATTTCAGAAATAAAATTTCAGAAATAAAAGACAAAGATAACTGCCCATATCCTCAAATATTTCCGTTTCCTTGGAATGAAGTTTATAATAATAAAAGTATAATTTGCATTTATAATTCTTTATTTATTTATTTATTTATTTTTACCTATCGATGGCCTCGCGATGCTACAAGGTAAATTCGGATATTCATCTGCTACCAATTTCTCGGCCAATCTCTTTGAATACGTGTAAGTATTTGGATGAAGATTCAATAACCTATATTTAACGAAATATGGATTAGTCTAATAGATGGATAAATATGTATGCTAATATGGAAGATCAAAGAATGAATAATTGAAAAATATCATATAACGAAAAAATTAATTGATTCTTCTTATTTCTTATAGGAGAGAGAGAATTACTTGGGTGTAATGAGATCGATAGCACTTTCATCTAGCCATTCGACCATTTTCATAACATCGTGAGGGTCGGTAGGTGGGTCGTACACTTTTTCATCGAGTTCCTCTTTATCGGCATAACAGAAAGCCGTGCTTAAATGTACAAATGTTTTCAACTTTTTCATTTTTTTAGCCAATTCTAATATCCTTTTCGTTCCAATCTTAAACAACAACAGTGTTAACGAGATAGTAAAAGATAAATTAAAAATAAAAAAATATCTTAAAGTTGAATATTTTTTTTTTTTTTTTTCACTTGAATAATTGATACCTTAAACACATTGTAAAAGTATATATGGAAGATGGAATAATTGAATTGATGAATTTACCGTGTTCATTTCTATAGCATCCTTTAATTTAGCTTCTAATTTAAGAGTTGCTGCAAAATGGAATACTACATCAATTTCGTTCATCAATATATTCGATTGTTCTTTAGTCAGTCCTAAATTCTCCGCGCTAACATCCCCATTCAACGTTACTATTTTCTTCATCATTTGTGGTTTTTGTTTTCGTATTCTTTGAAACATCTATTTAAATTTATTTCGATTTTAGTCATTATAAGTAAACAAACAATAATATCAACGATGAAAAATATTAATATTAATATAATATAAAAATTTACGTTATATAATAACGATTATATTTTTTATCGTATACAGTGTATAATAAGTATTATAAGATCAATTTGAGATCGTTAAAAAAAAAAAAAAAAAAAAAGAGTTAAATGAGAAAGATAGAGAAGAAGGAAGGATTTAAATTACTTACGGGCAATTTAAGCATTTCATCCATACGAATTTCTGGAGTACGACCCCTTTTTGGCCGTATCAAAACATAAATTTTATTTATATCGGTGCAACTGTAAAGTAATTTCTCAATAAGAACTTTTCCCATCAAACCGGTTCCACCGGTTACGAAGATATTCTTCCCTTTGTAAAAAGATTGTATTTCCGTTAATTCACTCATATTTTTCTTTCAAATCTAAAACATACAATATTATGAACTGCCCGTTATCATAATTTCTTTCGACTTATATAAAATTTATAATATAAAAATTTTTTAAATAAGAGAAGGAATTAATCGAAAATTGATCATCGATAATTATTGTTGTGTTATGAATTAAATATACGCTGTGTACATCGATCTTACTTTCTTCTTTTGTAATTTATTATACATGTATAATGAATAAAATAAATTAGTTCAATAATAAAGTTAAAATGCGTATGTGTGGATATTTTGTTTTTTATGCAATCGTAAATTTCTCTTTTTTTACGAAAGAGTGATTTTTTAGATAATCGAAATTTCATCGATCGAGGTCAAGGTTTCTTAAAATAAAATTAATTTATATAATCTTTTCGCTGCTATCTGCTTTCCTATCTTGATATTTTTTTCTCCTTTCATTTCTTTCTCGTATTATGTTACATTCTCAAAACAGCATATCATCAATTTTTTAACAGAACTTGTTTTGTCACAGAATAAACATAATCGATAATAATAAATAAATAAATTTTTCGCATACGAAATGATGAATTAAATTAAAAAATTAATTTTTTTTTATTATATTATTTATTATATATTCATTATTTAGTAGTTTTTTTTTAGTTAGTTAGTTTATTAAGAATAATGATTTTAAATAAAAATTTAATTTTTTGAAATTTCATAAATATCTTTCAATTAAATAAATATATAATTTAAAATAATAAAAATATATTCTTAAGATCTATAATTTAAAATTCTCTGCTTTTAATGTTTTCTAATTTTCAATCTATCATTATTTTTTTCGAATTTTTAATTTAATTCTTGGTGTAACTGTAACTTCGCAATAATTGAATGTTCATCAATCTATAAATCTTGGCAAAGTTCACTATTCCATTACATAAACAAAGTCCAAAAGAAAATAAAATTAAACTAATCTTTTTTAAGTATTGTGTAATTGAATACTTTTTACATCTTTAATTATTAAAAAAGTAGAATTACTTTTTCTTCGTGTAATGACACACATTATTGTGTTAATATATTGCATAATCAAAATATTTGTGTAACTCATAATTTTTAATTAAACAGAATTTAATTTATTAAATAATAAATAATATAGTAAATTTATTTTGTAATAAAATAATTATTTGTTTGCTCGTGTTGTGAATTAGAATTTATTCGCCATATATCTCTTATGACATTTTAATCTTCGATCTTGTCAAATTCTTCCAATTTCTTAAGAACGAAAATTGTTTTTTTTTCAAAAAAAAAAAAAAAAACATTTTAATTAGAAATATTCGACATTTAATTGAAGAATAAAACAAATCGAAATGAGCAATTATTGTAAAGGTTGAATAATATAATATACTGTTTTGATTTATTAAGAAAATCATTTTCTCGTTATATGAACAAGATGAACCGTAATCACATTTACGATAGTTATACGTCGCGTGTACTCGAGAGTGAGTGAAAGTATTCTCGAAACACATAATTCCATATTTTTATCGGATGAAATATTTAAACATGATATATGAACATTTAAGTTATGAAATAAATTTTACTATGATATAATATATATATAACTATGATGTCGAAAGAATTTTTTCTGAGAAAGCAATATATATCAAATATTATTCATTATTTATTTAATTATTTTATTTATTTTATATACGTGTTTCGTATTTATAATATTAAATTTCATTTAATTTTCATTTACGTGTAATGTATAAGCATTTGTTTCATTTTAGAAATTATAATGCATTTTTTAAATAATTTTTAATTTTAATGCTATCAACTTAATAAAACAATATTTCGATAAATAACGAGTAAATGTACGAGAAAAATTATATGGATATTTAAGCTAAACAAATTTCAAAAAAAAGTATATAGATTGTTATAAGAAAGATATATTAATTATAATATGTAGAATATATCACGCAATAGTATTAGTCAGCGAAAAAGAACAGAACATGCAATTAATCTGCAATTTAAAAGTATTTAGAATCGATACGTTGCAATGTGATGACTGGCGAAAGAATTTGCCTTCGTCAAAAAAGAGCATTGCACGAAGCACATAAACGATGATAAAGTTCGAGCACAATTTATTTCATCGGAAAGTGAACGGTCTACTAAATCGATAGTATAAAATGTGGCAACACCGAATAGGATTCGCTTTCTTAAGATCCTCTCAACTATAATATTAAATTGAAATTACAAAACTGGAATATAGTTCAAAATTTAGAAGCGTAATGTTCTGTAAAATAATTTATGTACGATTGTTTTTTTTTTTTTTTAGCAAATAAGAAATATATATACTTGTATATTTTCATTTTATCGAATATTTATAATTGCAATTAATTCAGTTCCTCGAAATTCATAATAATGATATTTTCCATAATAATGATGAAATATATAGATTAATATATACAAAAAATTATTTAAAAGTTTAGTCATGAAATCTTTATTTTAAATTATATTAAAAATGATTTTTGCAAATTTTTTATTTAATAAAGACATAAAATAAACATTGTTGTTTTCTCGTATTTATAACTTCAATTCATAATGATAGAACGATGTTTTGTTATTAATTAGTCGAATTAAATTTTTTAATAAAATGTTGATCTTGATAATTATTTTCTTATATTTTACATTTAAAACTTCGAGTTATCGAATTATATATTTGGCATATAGCAGGTAATATCTTGCATTAATTCATGTATTATTTAAAAATTGAATATATAATTAATCGATAATCGATAATCATAATCGAAATCAAATCGATTTTAAAAAAACCTATCCATTGACTTAGAAAATGAATATTATATTGATATTTATATTACCATTGCGATTTAATTAAAACATCATAACATTATCAATATCAATGAAAAATATTCACGAATTATAATTATAAATTAATGAGAAATACAAAACTGTTATAATTATCTCAAATTATCATATGAAACGTTTAATTAATTAAATTAATTTAATATTTATTACATTTAATTTTTGATGATATTGATTATATATTTATTAATTTTAAAAGTATGTTGCTAATATAAAACCACAACTTTTTTTATTTTTATAATTTTTATATTTTTATATGAAATTAATTTCTAACGTTCATTTTTTTTAAAATAAAAATAAAATGTTTTAATATAAAAGATATTTTTTCACTGCAAAATCAGATAAGATTCCAGAATTTTATAAAATTCTTTTAACATTAGATATTGAAAATTTTTCAAAGAGAGTTTATTTTAAATAATTGTTTAATTTTTATTTTAATTCGGTAAATTTTTAAATAACTATTTTAAATTTTTCATAAGTAAATTACATATAAAGGAAATGAAGCGATACAAAAACCAAACGATACATAAAAACAAACAAGTATCATTTCACTTGTCCGTTACAGCGCAATTACTTTCTATATTCGTAAAAGATCAAACAAATGAATAAACTATAAAATATAACTTTATAAAATTTCGTTAAATAAACACAATCAATTGAATAGGAAATTGAAAATAAATAAAACAACAAAAAGATTGAAAATTACTTTAATTATATAGTAATTATTTGTCATATAATAGAAAATTATATACCAGTAAAAGAAAGAAAAAATAACATAAAAAGGACGTGAAAGAAAAATGTACTTACTTGATCAAACTAATTCGGTAAAAGCAAAATAAAATTTAATATTTAAATGCGTAAGATTGGTAGGAAAATTGCAAATATAACGGGTAATCAGTTGACCTAAACCAAAGTATAGGAAGAACAGTCGTGGACCACTGTGTTCGAACCTACTGAGCTTCAACGTAGCTGACTTGATTGTAAGAGTCGAAGCAGGAGTAATATTGTATCCCCACCTGTGCTTAGGTTAACGAATTACACTTTTTCTTTCAGTTCAAACAAACAATTTTTCTTGCGGCATCTTTATCGTTCGATGCATCGTATTACAAAAAAAAAAAAAAAAACGCGCATTTCGTTTTATTTTTCATTGTAAACTTATTCATTAATATTGCTTCCAACGTCAAATGTTAAATGATTCTGAAACTGATTGATTACTGTTATTTAATTCCAATCACCAATTTTTTTATAAATTTAATACAATTTCGCTTTTAATACAAATTTTATCAAATAGTCAAATAAATCTTTTTTTTAAATAACAAGATAATTCTTTAAACAATATACTTTTTTATAAAAAATATGTAATAATTCAATCTAGATATAATAATTTTTATTGTAAACCTGCTAACTAAATTGAATATATTTCAATTTTTTTCAATTAATACTTTTTTTTTGAAAATCTTAAGTTCAATAATTTGTAATATGCTGCTAATTTCCAAAAATATTTTTATAATATAATATTACAATATTTTTATATATTCATAATACATAATAATATTATGAATATTTTTCTTAAATCTTCTTTATAAGTAATATTTAAAGATTGATGATGAAAATGTCTGATAATTATAAAGTAAAACAATTAAAGAAAATTAAAAACATTACATGTAATTTTATTTCTTTCATCCGTTAATTATTATTTATATAATATTATAAGTATATATAAAAAAAACCTACATAATATTTGTATGCATTTTGAAAAAAAAGGAACAAATACGAGATATTTTTAAAACTTAAGAATCTTCAGAATCTTACAATTGAGATTATCAAAGAACTTACAAAAAAGAAAATTAATATTACTCTTTAAAAAATTTATATTAAAAAAATCATAATTTATTACATTACTTATATAATATTTCTTTTTAAATACAATTAATACAAAAAATATTATATAATTTGATTGATATTAATTGATTTAGTTTTAATTGAAATATTTTTGCATAATATTTTTATTTCTTTCACTAATTTTATTTATATCGCCTTATATTTTTGTATATCAAAAATTTTCGTTACGTAAAGTGTTACATAAAATCAATATACATTATAGTTCATTGACATTTGAGTATATTACTCTTTTAGAAAATCTCTTTTTATCTTCCGGTTTTCTCTCTCTTATTAGTGTTAATTATTGAATATTTATATTAACTATATTATTTATTTATTTAAAGTTAATAAACATTATAATATTTAATATATTAGAACATAAATTTTTTTATAAATTTTTTATAACAAAATTTGATTGAAAAATTATTTAAAATATACGAATAATATATATAATATAATATTATAGATAATTATATAAAAGATACGTTTTATATGTTATACATTTAAACAAATATAAATTATACATTATATGTATATTATACATTATTATTATATATTATTATTATTATTATATTATATTATTATATTATGTATATATGTATATATCAAATATACTATATATATTTAAAAATATAATTCATCATGAATGAATCCTTGATGTCTTTATTTACTATTCTTTCATTAAAATGTTTTAATGATTTTTATTTACAATATATTTACAAATTAAATAATAATTATTTATATTTATTTTCAAATATTGTCTTTACATATGTTTCACATTTAAAGTGCTTTACAAACATATCTTTTACACTGCATTATCTTTGCGAGAATTCATATTAAACGAATCCCTGTTATATGAGAATCTATTATATATCATATAATTCATTTTTATCATTTTTTTTTAATTTTTTATAAAGATAAAAAATTAATCAAAAATGTTTCAAATTTCATATATTTCATCGTAAAAAAATGGTGTCTATTTAAAAGTGTTGTTCTATTGTTAGTATTAAAGAATGTAAACATTCCATTATTAATTTAATAAGTTGTAAAAAAAAAAAAAAGAAAGTAAAAATGTCTTCACATACTACACCGATTGTCGACGAATTGGCGAAGGACTATGCAAATTATTTAAAACTAGATTTATCTGGTCAAGTATGCACTTTATTATACATAACCTCAATATCAAAATATTAATTTATTATCAAAGAATATTTTTTTATATCTTATAGTTGCAGAAATCTATATATATTAAAATATAAAATACAATACAACATTACATTCCAGATGAAGAATTTTCATGAAACCATTGAAGATGTAATGATGCGTTTAGAAGAATTTCAATCAATTATTGAAATGGTTAGAAATCATAATTTAATCTAATGATATATTTTCAGTAAATATATGATACAAATATTATACTTTATTTTAAAAGGTTCAATCTGAAAATAGCCAATGTATCGATCAACATATACCAAGATTAAAAGACATGCAACAAGAAGTTATCAATCTTACTAGGCGAATAGATGCATTAGAACATGTTATAGCAATGATTAATGTAAATCTAACAACATTAGAAGCTGCTGTTGATAATGCAGAAACTGAACTAGGAATTTCTGATAGATTATTTGGAATGTTAAATCGTTTATCTTTCTTTGTAAGTTGCTATTATTTTTTTGATATTGTAATTAATAAGATTAACTGAATTTTTTTATTTCAGAAAAAAACTCAGGAACCTATAGTATCAAATAGATTACCAGAATATGAACCTCCAACAATTTATAGAACTGATGATTATTTTAAGAATGAATGAAATAATATTTTATTTTGAAGTAAAATAATAGATTCAATTATTTTCATAAATTAATTATATCAAATAATGAAAAAAAAGTTCTTAATTTCTAAGAGGTATGTATTAAGAAGTATTAAATGAATTGTATAAGTATAAAATAAAAATATTTCAATAAACTTAATTATTTTCAGGATTAATATAAAATATTACAAACAAATACATTCATTAACAAATAAAATATCATTATAATTTGAATTTAATAATAAATATAAAATGATTTTATGAATTTGATATATTTTACTAATTTTAATATTTTACAAATCTACCCATTAACATGCTGGAAGAGTACAAGTCTTTAATTGTGCTTTCTTTTCACCTAATGAACAACTTCCACCTATGCAATGCCTCCATCTTGTTAGTTTCCCTATACCACAAGTAACACTACAACTTGACCAGTTTCCCCATTGATCCCATATTTTTGGTCCTTGACGATTCATTCTATCTGTCATTAAAATATTTGATTTCTAAATAAAAATATTATTACTAGAAAGGTTAAAAATATCATTAAAATATTATTTTGTTATATAATTACATTATAATTACATTAATTTGTTAAAAAATTATAAAGTATTAAATTTTAAAATTAATATTATTTAGTAATATAATTAATAATGAAATCAATTGTTTTTTAATAAAAACAATCTCATGATAACCTTTAAGTTTAGAATATTTATATTTATTGAATAACAATAAAATAATAAATTTTTTGCTTATAACTTATACTTTGTTTTTCATTTTTTTCATCTTTATTTTCATCATTCATAATAGCGGATGTTTGTGTTTCATGATGTAAATTTTCATTTTGAACGTTTGTAAGTTTAGATACGGAAACTGATTTCTTATAAGGTTTTAATATGGTGTTATTCAAATGACTTTCGGATTGAAAAAATAATAAACATTCCATAAGAACAAATAAAATGATGAATGATTTAAGAAACGATTTTATCAAATTATATAACATAATTTACATTTTTATTAATTAATTTCACGTAATATTTTTTATTGACTGAAATTATCTATTAATAGACGAAATTATCTAATAATATTTTAATATAATAGAAAAATAAAAATAAAGAGTAGACAATATTTTTATATAATAAAAAAAATTAAAGATATAAATCTAATTTGATAAATCTAATTTAGAACTGTGATATGTATTTAAAAATCATATGAATATAATTAGTATAAATATGTGTATATAGAAATATATTTCGATGATCAGTAAAATGCTCCTTACATATAAATCATTTAAAATATTTATGTATATTTTATCCAACTATATAAAAAATATTACAATTTATTTTACTAATCTTACTGAATAAGTAGATAAATAAATTACAATTAATTATGAATATGAATATATGTATTTCATCTTCATTATGTATTTTCTCTTTTTAAATTTATTATTTAATTTTAATTCCAAGCCAATTAAGAATGTTTTTAGATTCACATTCTTTTAAACGACATGTTTTTATTTGTGCTTTCTTTAATCCTTTTGTACAATGTTCTGCTGCGCAATGACGCCAACGAACTTGACGACCATTTCCGCATGTTACACTGCATGAACTCCAATTACCCCACCCGTCCCATGATTCATTACCTATATATTAAAAAATATAATATTTAAAGAATTATTTATCTTATTGAGATATTAGTTAGATATCTTATTAATTAGATAATAATTATTATTATTAAAATTAAAAAAGTAATCTCGAAAATCTGATACGAGTTAAAATGAACAATACCAGATTTAATCCAGACACAACATATTGATATTGAATTGACTGATACATAATTGACAAAAACGAGGGTTAACATGCATAAATTTATACATATATAATCATTCTTACTAGTAGAATCATTCTTTTTAGCATCTTTTACATATCTCAACAATTTCTTTTGTTTCTTTCTTTGTAATTGCTCATTACTTATATTATTTTCAAAATGTGTTTTTTTTAAGTAATTAAGTAATTTGCGTTGGCGAATTGTTGAAGTTTTATAATTGAATGGATTATAATAAAATCTTTCATCATACCATAGTACTAATTGACCAAACTTAAAAGAAAAAAAAAAGATTCAACATAAAATTAAAATTAATATTAATTTAAAATTTTTTACATATATATATATAT